ACACTGCTCCACAGCAACACCAGCACATGCCCAAAGCAAACCAAGACTTCCTGGGGCATTTTTTGGGCAGGCAGACCTGAGCCCTCACAGCCTGGGTGTCTGATAAAGCAGCTTTACTTGGGCTACCACAGCTCTGGACACGACAGGGCCTCTGTTCTTTTCATAAGAGAATTAACTGACATTAAAAAAATAACATACAAAGAATTCTCACCATCCAGGCAGAAAACATCTGTATCCAACACCATCATTGCTCGTGGCACCCGAGCGCCTACCTGGGATGCGCTAAATGCAAAGTGACAAGCAGCTGACTCAGGAAAGGCATTGCTGTGCTCCAGAAAGGTTTTCTTTACAGCTGTAAAGAATAGACAGCTTTTTTTTTTTTTTTTCCTCACGAAGAAATGCAAGAAGCAGCAGAATAAGCCATGCAGCTCCCATAAATACATCAAGCAAAGTGGCTCCCACCAACGGGCCGGGTGTTTGTCACCTCAGGTGTGGAGCTTTTAGCTGAATGCATCCTTAGATGATTAAGAAGTCACTAGAGACAGCTGGAGCCCTTCTTTACTTACGTGTGTTACCAGGCCTGGTATAAAAATACATTAGTAATAAATTCCTGACAGGTGCCCCTGCGCATGGAGAACCCAATCGTGGCAGCTGAGTTACAGCCCTATAATTCTGCCGGGGGGTTCCTGTGGCATCACAGCTCATTAACCTGTGCCTGGGAATCCCTTCATCAGCTCTGTGAGAGCACAGCCCAAACCACAAGCATCACCACATCCCAGCCTTGCCAAAATTATTTTGGTGTGATTAGGTTCAGCGAAGACCTGCACTAGAACAAGCAGATGTCCATGAGAGCCACCAAGAGGGAGATGTTGGCCGTGATGTTGGCCATGCTCCTCGGGGAAGGAAACCCAACGTGTTTGGGGACATCTCGGCAGGGAGCTGGGCTCAGAAGGAGGACAGAGGGCAATTTCACACCGCTGATGCTAGCTGACACCACGTTCCCTTTTCAGGGGCTTTGGCACCTGGAGACTGGTGTGAAAGGGGTGTCGAGGATCCCACCAGCAGCTCTTCCCCAGACAAGGACTTCTCCTTACACATCCCTTCATTCAATGAAGACAAGTGTTATTTTCTGGCGCCAGTGACCATCAAAGATAAAGCTGAAAATAAAATGAGCCACCAAAGCTCTGTGCTTCCCCTCCATGCCCCTTCTTTTAATAATATCATGTTCTCAGCGCAGATTAACCTCAGCTTTGCTCCCAATTATTATTTCGCTTCCCTAAGTGCAGAAGCAGAGAGGGGTTTGACAAATGAACCCAGCTCCACCGTTACGCCGTGCTTCCCCTTCTGCAGCCTTATTTCGTGGAGAAGTCCCCCATCACACAAACTGGGGGCTCTGCATCCCCCAGCCTTTGCTAGGAGTCCAGGCCTGCGGTTTTTTCACCTTTTAATCTGTGAAGCTTTAAGGGTTTTGCAGTGGGGCAAATTCAGACCTATTGGCAAGGGGGTTGCTCTCATATTTCCCCTCCTCAGGACCTCCAAGCCAGCTCAGCTCCCGCAGGGGTGCGCAAGCAATGTGCTGCAGAAAAGCCCTGCTATAACCATTTCTTTCTCTTCTCCGTGGAACAGCAATGCCATTGCTGAAGGCAGGGTTATTTAGGGACCTGTTTGTCACCACCCGGTCCTGAACAACCCGCTGAAATGAGAACAGAAAAGAGATTGCTGCTCCAGCTTTGAAGGGCAAAATCTGGCCGTGAAGAAAGCTCTTGAGGTGTTCAGCCCCAGAGCCAGGAAAATAACCCTCCTGGTCCTTCTCCTGGCTTAAATCAAGACATCCCTGATGAGCAGGTGGTGGGAGGCTCGGCAGATCCACGCACAAAGTGGGCTCCTCTCTGCTAACGCAGCCGACGTCCCTGCTGGAGCACATCCAGTGCCACAGGGACGAGCCTCAGCTGGTTTCACCCGCTCAGCTCCATGGGGCCGATATCCAGCCCCGAGTATTTGCTGCACAAGCCGGGCTCGGCACTCGAAACATCCCTGAGCTGCTCCTTCCATTTGCAGTAACCGTACGGGGCAAGACAGGGGGTTGATTACATCTGCTCAGAGCAGACGCAGCATTGCAGAAGTGGTCCTTGGGAAGCTGAAGAACAGGGCAAAAACAAGCACAACATCAAGGCAAATCAGCCCTGGCATCCTGAAGGGCTGCCACACACGTGTGTCCACAAACCTTTCCACCGACCAGGGTTACCATCGCTGCCCTTCAGGTGAGCAGAGGAAGAAGGGAAGGAGCTGCGAGGGTTATCCATCCTTTTTGGGGAGGAGGCTGTGTGCTCATCCCTATCCTGAATGCAAAAACCACGGCAGCAGCTGGATACTTTAGTAAAAATAAATACATAAATGAGCTGGATGCTTTAAAAAAGGCAGTTTCATCCCTTCCTAACTTCTTCCCACTGAAACAAACAGCGTCCGCATCCTCCCCTCTCCATCCCCACTCCTTTTCACACCACCTACAGCCTCCTCTGTGCAGGACGGGATTGTTTTGCTTCTTTCTGGGGGGCGTTTATTTATTACTGCTAATGAGGCAGGCACAAAAGAAAGCCACACGAGCATCTGATGGCGCAGGGACACCTCTGATGGTGGAAGGATTCCTCCTCCTGACTGGCGTGGGTAGCCAAGGAGATAGGCAATGTCTGCTTGGGTGTTTATGCTACATCGCCGCGTTTGCAGAAGTAGCATTCCTTGAAGACCTCATCAAAAGCAGTGTGTGTTTCGAGATGAAAACATCCCGGTAATAAACAGGCAGAACTCGCAGCCCTTAACAGCCTAACAGAATAAATCGGTGTTATCCGAGAGCCGTGTGAGAGTATACTTCAGGGAAGCAAAAAGATGCCATTGTTTATCAAACCAGGACTCCATTCATAATGCATCCGAAAGGATCCCCGTGTCCTTCAAGCAGGCCCAAACAAAACTCGGCATCAGAGGCTTGGCCCAGCTCCTATTAAAAGCTTTTTTTTTTTTTTTTTTTTTTTCCCACCGACTTTCACAGAGCTTGCATCAGACACGGAAAGGAGTGAGGTGTCAATACAGTACGTATTCTTCAGACCACAGGACCTCATTAGCAGAGCAGTGTGAATAATAGATCTGCTGGCTTGCTGGTCCAGCTGAAAAATCACACCCCAAAAACAATGCTTCGGAGGTCAACAGATTCATTGCGGCTTGACTGAAAACGCTTTGTTTTGCCCAAAATGCAGTTTCTTCGTTTCAGGTGATTTTTTTTAAAAACTCTGAATATTTTTTTAACTGAAGAAATGAAAACAGAAGAAAACTTCTTCAACAGCACCCTATTTCCAAATTCAGATCCAAAATAATCACCTGGCCTCTTTTCTTGACCACGGGAGCTGCCAAACACATGCAGAAGCCCCGGGTTGCGCCTTGGGACATGGTGCCTTGGTTCAGGGATGGCGACTGAGCACCGAGGCAGCCCTGCTTCCCTGCAGATTGCTTTGAGACAACCTGGGACATGCTCCAGAGCTGGTTTATAGACATTTCCAGTATTTTAGTCAGGAAGGGACAAGGTGGTGCCCACCTGGGCCGTGCCAAGCTGTTCGGCTCCACGTTAGTGATGCTGATGGCTTCGCCGTGCCTGTGGCTCCCCGGCTCCGCGGCAGAGGAGCAATCCCCCCCGCAACGTGGTGTTTTTACGAGCTGCAACAGATGTTTCAGACCACACATTATCCGGCCCCGTCGCTGCCAGGATGAAGTGAGGAACATCATTACGGGTGGCTGAAGGCGCGGGATGAATTTTGCCTGGCCCATCATCACAGTCAAAGCTGGAGCCCAGCCAGGACGAGTGGCTAAAAACCTTCTCCTCCCACTCCAGCAAGCCATCCCAGGAGATCGTTAAGAGACTGCGCGTGACCAGCAGCGATGATTAATCACGGAAAGTTGTTATTCCTCAAAGCCGAAGCACGAAATCGCAGGTTTGACAGCAGCCAGTAACAAGGCTCACAATTACAATTAGGTAAGGCTCTCCGATTAACAAGATAACGTTCACCGATGCTCGTGTACCTTCATCAGGTCCTGCCACGCTCCTTTCTCCCATTTGCCAATATTTCTCACCTATCAGGAGGACCAGGTAGGGCTGATACAAACACCCGGGCTGGGCTCCAGCTGCCCAGCTCATGGGGGATGGGGATTTGGGGAACGCGGGTGCCGCCAGAGCCTTGCACCTCTCCAGACAGCACCGCCAGCCACTTCACGAGCAATCCCCTCAAGTCTCACCACGGCCCCGTTGAGCAAGCGTTCATGGATTTTCATATGTAAATGCAGTAAGAGGATTGCAGAGGAAAGATTTGTCTTGACTGGGAGATTAGTTTTAGCTCAAATTTGGCTAATGCGTGAAATGCCGCTGGCTAGGCCTCCACCACTCCAATTAGCTCAGGAGTGCCTTCCTACCTCTCTGCTCCCAGGCCAGGCATGGCTGGCACAGGGAAGCTGTACTTCAGCATGAGGCCAGCAGACCTCAAGTGAGAACCTTTGGTGCTCCAACACCTCCTCTCCCAGCTCCGTTTCCTTGCAGGGAAACGGGCAGCCACAGACGTGATATCCAGCAAGAAACTGTGTTCAATATTGCCCATCCAAACTGTCTGAGGGAGCTAAGGTAACCTTCCTCCTCCAACACCTGATCATGGGATGCAAGCCCAAGAGGTTTCTCTGCCATCTTCCCTCATCTGCCCCCTAGGACCATCCGGGCACCTGGTCCCACCACACCTTGGGTGGCTCTCGGGACACCAGTGGAAGCCTAAAAGCTTCCAGTTGTTCAAAAGTTATTCCAAAACCTGGGGGACCTCGAAAGGCTGAGGATAACTCGCTGGGGTAGGAACCAGCTTCTTGTTCAACGTGTGTTGGCTATGCCCTGAAGTACGGGACTTTTAGACTTGACCAGGAATATTACGATAGTGCCTTTGTGCCATCTGAAACTGAATCAAGGAAAACGTTCATAAATAGCCCATGTTAAGGATGGATCCATTTATTTATCTCCATCAAATTTCCATTCTTTCCCCTTGCTGCATTTGCTAATTATCCAGCATGCATTTGCTTAAAGAAAGCATTTTTCTAGCCTTCACAATCCATCTTCCCATCCTAATGGATCTTGTGGTAAAGTCATTATGGAGACTTTATGAAATCACAGTTATTTCCATGACAACAGTGATGTAATAAAGGTGGGATTATGACATTACTGCAAGATCAAGCTGAAGGACAGGATGGATTTGTTTACCCCAGATAGGGCAAGGGAAAGACTCCATTCACTCAACGTTTCTAAAAGTGCCTTAAGGTCTGCTAATGGAAGCTACATTTTATAATGGATTTTTTCTTTTCCCCTTTTATTACTTTTTCTTATGCCATTTTTTTTTTTTTTTAGCAGTTATTTGTTAGGGAAAAGGCTGTTATCCAAGGGCACGTAGCTGAGTAAGTTTCAGAGGAAGATCCATGCTGGGGCTGTGTTCGCACGTCTCCATGAAAGGCAGGATCATCCCTACGAGGTTCATGGCTCCCGTGCTTCCCGAAAACACTTCTGGCCTTTGAAGGGCTGGCAGGCTGGCAGGATGGTCTTTCCCCTTTCAAGGATGGCTGATTTAAGCAGCCTTCTTTTCAGACGTTTTAATAAAGAAATCACCTGCCACTGGATCACAGCGTGAATTGGCTACCCATGAAATTAGGTTTGAAAATGGCATTAAACCCTTTTTCTCTCCTTAATGGAAATATAACCGGCCGGGGCCTGGCCAGCAAATTCTAAGCCAAAAAGCATTTGTCTCGCAAAGCCAGACACACCAGCTAAGTCACTCTGGAAGTGATTTTTAGCTCTCTCTCCAGCAGTCACAGAATAAACCTAGGTGGAAATGACACAGCAATTCCTAAAGGATCAGAGCATGGAGCGCCACAAGACAGCTTTGAAGATAGCTGGGGGTTCTGGTTTGTTTTTCACAAGGAGAAAAGATGAATATTTCATACGGAACATGGTTCAAAAGTTGATTAATGTTTCAGTGTGTGGAGAACCGAGCTCGAGAGACGAGTTTCCCGATGTAAAATTCTTTACGCAGGCAGGAGGACTTGTACGGCCAGCTCCTCCCAGGGTGGGCTTCATTTAACCCCCTTCTTCAAAGCTGCTCCTGCTGGTGGCTTGGAGCTTCACAACGTGCCAGTTTGGTGCTTCTCCTACAAATGCAGGGCACTGATGATGGCCACTGGGGTTGTGCAAGGAGGAGCAGCTCCTTGTGCCAACAACTGATGCTCAGATGGGCTTCGGTGTCCCCACGAACCTTGCTCCAGCCGGGCAGAGGGCTGTGATGGCCACCAAAGGCTTCCTGCCCTGGTCCAGCTCCTTGGGCAGTGGGATAATACAACCATCTCTGCTGCTGGTGGGGTCTTCTCTGCTTCCCTCCCAGCTCTCGAGGAGCTGTGACCCCCTGGTGCCTTTGCTCTGCGCTGGCTGCCACAGCAAATATGCACGGGAGCACTGAGAAGTCCCACGCGCCGAAAGCTCATTAGCTTCCCATCCAGCCCAATTGATCTCAGCAGCTGTTTCGGCTTGTCCTGCCCCAATTCCCAGCCCTCTAAGCCTCCCCGGTATCTCTTCATCGGCAGAAGGGAAGCACCTGCGAGGCCGCACAGACATGCTAATGAAGTGTGAGTTATTAACCGCAGCGTGCTGAGGGAGATATGCAGGAGGTGTGTGTGGGGAGGGGAGGGCTGTAATTTTGCCATTAATATGGAAAACGGGCGACCCTCCCTCCTTGAACTGCTGGGGAAGAGCAGATTCAGGCGCGTGTCCCGTTCCGGGGTCCGGATGGGTAATGAGATAACCCGACTCTCGCCCTCTTTCTTTCCTTCTCGCCTGATAAAAGGAGAGAGGGGGATGCAGACAATTAAAAGGAGGATTCCAATCGGCCCCGGAGAGATTCAATGAATAATAATGGACCTCCAGCTGCTAATGTGCTTAAGGACTTTGGAGCCTCAAGTGTCTAACCAGCTTAAGGGTCTTGCACCGCAGACTTCATTTCTATGAGTAAATGGGAAAGGCAGGGGGCAGGGGGGCTCCTGCCCCTGGCCACAGACGGGATCATCTCCCAGACTCTTGCTGGGCCCTCCGTCAGGACGCTGCTGCAGCTGCAAAAGGGGAAAGTCAACTTATTGGCTTGAGCTTCCCTCCTTACCCAGCTCCTGGACATCACGCCTTCTGGCAAATCCCTTGGATTTGGCTTTCACTGATGCCCCTCTCTTCCCATCACCTTCCCCTGCTGCTTTCCTCCTTTGTCCCCCCGACCACGACATCCTCCTCTCCTCTCTCAGGTTTCTCCCGCTCCCGTGGAGGAACAAGGAAATGACTTGCAAGGGAGGAACAGCAAAAAACAAGGCAGAAAGCCCAGCCTTGACTTCTCCACAAAGCTCTGCCCCTCCTCTCCCCGACTGGAGGCTATAGGGCAACTACCACGGATCCAGACAATACGAGCTTCGGAAGCTGGCAATCCCATGATCAAAGGAACGAGGAACACTAGGTCAGGGCTCCTCAGCCTTCAAAAGGAATACAACAGAGATCTGAGGAGCACAAGAAAAGCTGTTTTCACCTCTCCTGGAGCAAGGACTAGGAGCCCCAGAAGAAGCTCGCAGGTTCAAAACAAACAAAATGAGCTCGCCCTGCTCTTTACCCAGAGTGTCTCCAAGCCATGAGCCTCTTCAACAGGCAATCTGTGGCTGCTGAGAGCTCATAAAGGTTCGTTAAAAAGACAAAAATGGATTTTTTTCTGCTGAAAGTGTGGCTGCTGAGCCTCTAATGTACAAACACAGCGCTTATGAGTGAGGAGGCCTCTGGTCTGCAAACCACTGGGAGGCTGGACAAGTGTTCTGGAGAAATATCACCGCTGTTTGCCCTCTACTTACACAGTTTTCTGGTCACACAGGATTGCCTCTATCAGAGACAGGACCTTGTATTTGGAAAATATCAGGTCTGCCCTGCCATGACCATCATCATGCCCCAAGACCCACAGCCAGCCGCCTCCACCCATTGCCCAAGAGACAGCACATCCCTTCTGCAGCTTTGGGGAAAAAACACGGGATTTCAGGCAACAGCAAGACGTCCCACGAAGCACAGGGAGGGACTGGAGTCTAACGGGGATGGATGCTGGCAGCTCGGAGGGACAGGCGAGGGGACGGCTGTGTAAGGCAGCGCTGGAGCCCTGGCACAGCAGGCAGGGGCATCGTTCCTTCAGCCCAAGGTTTGGAGAAGGACAGGAAAGCACAAGTGAAAGCAGAGCAGAGCAATTAGCTAATTAGGGGAGCTGACTAATCAGCTAATCTACAAAGGTTTTTCATTATTGTGCACAGAGAAGGAATTCTGGAGAGCTTTGCTGCGGAGCAGAGGCGGTGGGAGCTTTCCCCTTCTTTGAAATATTGCCCAGCCCGGTGAGGGAGATGCCAAGACGAAGATATTTAAGAAGATATTTAAGGAAAAGAGGCAGGGAATGTAGATTCCCCACCCGCAGCTCTCCTACCAACCTCTCCTGCCTTTCCCCGTTCTCCTCCCCTCCGACGTCCTTGCACATCTCCCGCAGCAATATCACCCTGCTGCTGTCACGGGCAGGACGGATATTCGAACAGCCTTAGATCAATATTTGTGCAAAGGGAAAGCTCGTGCATCGCAGGGCTACAAATTAACCTCCTGTCCCGTATCCACTCCGGCACACAGGACCTGCAGGAGCAGCACGCTCCCCTGGGGAAAAGCAGGACACACATTGCAGAGCAGGAAAAAAAAAAAAAAAAAAAGAAAGAAAAAAAAAACAAGAATAATAATAGATCCAACCCCGGCTCATGCACCTTTTTACATTTCTCCCTCAGGTTAGGGGGGAAAAAATAGCTTTTCTTAATTAGCATCCTAACCTTTTCTAAACAAGTTCAAGGGTGTCTTGGCAGACTCGGGAAGTGGTGTGAAAGCAGCACTGAATAACAGCAGCAGAATTAGTCAGGTGTAAAAGGATCTCACTTTTTTTTTTTTTTTTTTCGGGGAGATGATTAGGGTACTAGTAATGAGAAATATGAAGAACTTCCAAGGTTGCAGATACCTACTTATTAAAGCAAAATGTCACCTAGAAATGGCGTGCTTGGGGTGGAAAACAGCGCTTTCAGAGGAACCCTTGCCCAGAAAACGTTTGATCCATCAGTCCTGGATAAGCTGGTATGGCCCTCACCAGCTGAACCCAGCCTGTTTTGGCTGCTCACCACCTGGAAATGGAGTAATTGCCAAATTCCCCCCAGGAGGAAAATGAGCAAAGGCATTTCCGCAAAGAGCAGGGCTTGGGCTCCATCAGTCTGCCAGGCTAGATGCTCAGCAATGCTCCCTCCTGCTTTTTCTTCCTGTTATTTGCCATATTTAGCCCTCTTCCACTCCACCTCGCCACTGCACTGAGCAAGGGGGGAATGGCATTTGCCCAGAAAGAGAACAGATGAGACAAATCTGCTCACCGAGCAACAAAACGCATTTTTCCTCCTGCTCGGTCTCCATCTGGGTCTTATTTGTGTTTTTTTTTGGAGGAGATGCTCCCCCTTTCCCCGCCTCTCCTCCAAATCAAACTATTTTTGGGGTGGGAAACCAAATAAATAAATAAATAAATAAATAAATAAATAAGACTTTTTGTCTGTCCAAGGAATTTGTAGTCAGAAAGGTGTCAATTAATCTACATTACACTGAAATTAGCCTAATATTAAAACAATAGGAGGAGGACAAGGGAGAGATCAGCCTGTAATGTCCTCATTAGCTAGTGCTGCTCCTCGCGAGCTCTCCATCATATGAAGGTAGCTGTCTGGTTGCACTTCATTAGCACCGGGGTTAATTACGGCGAAGGAGGCAGGTAGGTGGGCTGTTCCCCCATCCTTGCCGCCGCTCTTTGCCCATCACTTCTGGATGGAAGTCACCATTCCCCTTGACTCCCGTCGCTCCTCGATTTGTAATGGCACGACAGGAGGAACAGGACCCATTTTTCAAAATGAATAGGTGCAAGCGGTGTCTCCCCCGGGGGCCAGGGGTGATTTGGGTAGAGCTCAGAGCCAGCAGGACAGCTCGTCTTGTCCTCTTTTCTCCTTGGCTTTCGTGAGGCTTTGCCCCACCTCCATCCTGCGCCACCTCTCTTTGCACCCAGCTGCTCATCCCCAGCTCCTCTGCGCGCTGGCAGCCCCTCAGATCCCCTCTCACATTCTCCTCTTCTCCTTTTGCTACCCCAACGGCTTATTTTTATTGTTAGGTTTGGTTCTTTTTATTTTTTGACTCTGCTAGATGTCAGGATTCAGATCTACGGCGGCAGAGGCAGGAATGGCCCCAGTGGGAGGGGGACATCTATGGGGCTGGGCACGTCTACCCAAGCGGGTGAATTCGGCACAAAGAGCAGGCACTCCGAGGTTATATGGAAACAGATCTGATTTGTGCTTTGGAACCCTCCCTCCTGTTAATTAGCAACCCGTTCTCTGCTCCCTTTAATTACGCAGGGCGGGGGCAGGAGAAGGGAGATGAAGATCAAAGACCGGGAGCTCCGGGCTCGTTCTTAATTTGGGCAGTGTCTTTGGGCTATTTTCCTTGTGGTTTCTCCCGGGATGGCCATGGGGTGCCACGGCTGGGCTCCGAGGGGAGGGCGAGCCCTGAACAGGACTTTCACTCCTCTCCCGTCAAGACTTGACGAGGAATTTGGGTGTTGTTCCGGCTCCCAGCACGGGCATTTCGGGCAGGTCCGCTGCATGTCCAACCTGAGGGCCTCGATGCTCGCCGCTGAGCGGCCAGGTTTTGTGGGGATGCGGCAAGGCTTTCATGGAGTAAGCACTCTAATCATGGGAAAATAGAGGCAAAAATGGGAAAATTAACCACGTGGTGATTTAAGAAAGAGCAGCCTGAGCTCAAGGTTGGAGTGAATGTATATAGGGGCACCTCTTACGTGCAGGAGTCCTGCACCGAGTGGTGCATCTTTTGGAGAGGGGACACAAGTCCAGGGGTGTCTGTGCCCCAGGGCCATAATTCCAATACATAGGGCAAAATGCATTTTCTATCCTTGTCATGCTCTCCCACCTCTAGCACGTGCCAAATACTCTGCGTACCATTTTAATATCTTTTTGTTGCTTTTTCTATTTTTTTCTTAAACCAGGTCATAATTTCATGCCAGAAGAGAGAGCCCCAATGCTCTAACCAATACAATATTTCCTCGAAATAAGGCAAGTTAGGGTATTATCAAACTGAGCCCGTCTGCTATGAAAACATACCTCCCAGCCAGCTCGCATGGGGTAGGCAACAGTAGCTAAAATTAAAGCAAATGAACAAACTCATAATCGAAGATTAAGGTCTGCGCGACGCTGACATGTTGTCTTAGAGCTGGGTGTCAGAAGGCAGAGGACTGTTAATTAACTTCCTATTGACGAAACAAAGCGCATAGAGAGGAACCTCGCTAATCTGTTTTGTGCTAATCAGCACGCATTATTAATTTGCTGCAAAAGAGCTGTCCTCTTCCCACTGCAACACGAGCGCAATAGGGCTGGAGCGCGGTCTCGCATTACCCGGGCTCCGCTCTTTTGACGACATCTGTCGCATTTCCTGGTGCATTACGAAGCTTGGGCATCAATAATTTAAACTCCAGTTGTTAAAGAGCAAAGTATCTTCAGTGATTAATTACCCCTCCTTCCTCCCCATCTCTTAAAAGCACAGCCACGCGTGACGCAGCCCAGCGAAACGGCGAGGTCTGCCCCTGCAGATGAGGATGCCCCGAAAGGGGAGAAAATCTGGGGAACCCTTGGGAAACTGGGGAGAACGACCGCCGCACATCACCACATCCACTTCTCTTGCAGAAGCAGTAGCTCGGGGAGAGA